ATATGTATTAAATATAAATTATATTATATCAAAACGTGTCCCAACGTGTCAACATATGACATTTCTTAGAATTAACGTGTCAGCGTGTCGTGTCACGTGTCCGTGCATCATAGATTAGGGGTGTGCAAAAAAACTGGCTCACTTGCTCTGCTTTTGATCTGACCTTAACCTGACACATAAATACCTATTTTCTTTTGAACTGGTTTAAATACTGAGCCACTTTTATTTGGGTCAGTTTTAGACCTGACTTGTTTTAATAATAACTCATTGACCCAAAACTTGACCCATACCCATTATGTGAAAAAAAGCACAATTACATTCAAAGAAAAATTTTATCGTAAAAAAATTATGTCACATTTTTTTACGGAAAATATTTCCATCAAAATTTTTCGCAAAATTTTTTGACGAAAAATATTTTCAACAAAATTTGTGACTAAAAACATTTTTGTAAAAAAATTTGACCGAAAAATTTTGTTATCAAATTTTTTTACGGAATCTAAATTTCGTCAAAATATTTCACAAAAAAACATATTCATCAAAAATTTCGACGAAACACATTTCCATCGAAATTTTTTGACGGAAAAAAATCTCATCAAAATTCTTTAATATATTCAAATTTTGGCAAAAATTTTCGACGGAAACATTTTCGTTAAACTTTTTGAAAAAAAAAATTTCGTCGAAATTTTTAATGAAACACATTTCCATCGAAAATTTTCGACTAAATATTTTCGTCAAGTTTTTTGATAAAAACATTTCCATCAAAATTTTAAACGGAACGCATTTCTGTCAAAAATTTTCGTAAAAATTTTTGACAAAAAAAATTTCGATAAATTTTTTTGACAGAAAATATATTCTGTCAAAATTATTTAGAGAATCTAAATTTCGTCGAAAGTTTCGAATGAAACATTTCCCTCAAAACAATTTCCGTCAGAACACATTCTTATCGAAATTTTGAACGAAAAACATTTCGTCAAATTTTTTGACGGAATTCTTTTTTCGTTTAAAACATTTGATGGAGGAAATCATTTTTTTCAAAACTTTTGACGGAAACAAAATTTCGATAGAAAATTTATTTTTGTAATAATTTTCATTAGAGAAAAAATTCCGTCGCTTTTCGACAAAAAATATTCCGACGAAAAATAATTTTGTGACGAAATTTTTGTCGTTTGCAACGTAGAAATTTTGACGAAATTTTGTGATGAAACTAAGTCAAAAACGGGTCAGGTCAGATTTGACCCACGTCAAAAACAAGTCAGACCCACTTCAAAAACCAAATCAGGTCAGATCTGACCCGGTTCTGAACTAGTTCAAAAAAATTCAAACTAAGTCAGACTTAACTTGAATCAAATTAAAGCGAATCGGGTCAAAATACCTGTCCTATAAAAATCAAGTTAAGTCGAATCGGCACAAAAATCTGACCCGACCTGACCCATACACACCCTCGTGATAACCACCGCCGCTGCTTTTTGTTGGGTTTTATATCAATCTGTTTTGTGGATGTGATGTGGAATCAGATTGCTCATTGATTTGATTAAAGCCAACACTTTGATCATTAGTATATGTCACATGAATATTGTGATTATAGCCAATCATCCCATAAAGTGGAAATTGGGAGGATAACCCCTCATATAAACATATAATTTACAATAATATCTCATCTTAATTAAATCATGAGAATTTCCGTGTATAAAACACCCCCCCTTTTTTTGCAAAAAAAATTAATTCCTTCACTGTATCAAAGTCAAATTCCATCTACTTTGGGTGGGTTGGAGCCCCAAACAAAACAAAACAACGGTTGCCTATCCGCTTTTCTTTTTGGTATTCAGCCACTCAGTGACAAAAACCATGGATAATCCTCTTCTAAAGTATTTGGTAATGCTACATGACATCTGATCTTCTTACTCGTTCAATCATTAAACAATTTGTAACTCATGACGTTAGAAGTATTTTAATCAATGAAATTTCTTTATTAGCGTAGTACACGAATTAAAGATATTGAACAGCCTCTCTATAATTTTTTGGTTCTATTTTAATTTTCCTGAACAGGATATGTAAAAAGAGTTGTTACCTTGCGTCATAAATACCCACCCATGTCGTAATAATAAGTTTTTTTTTTTACAAAAATCACCTATGCATGTATACGATAATATTTTTTTTGATTAACTGTATAAGATAATTTTATTTCACCCGCCACAAAAAAAGGAATACGAAATGATTATTATAAAGACTTAATAAAATTTGTGAATATTATAAAAAAAATACAAAACTTTTACATGACAAATTTATGTAAAATTTTAGCTACTTTCTCCGTGTTTCTCTTTTCTTTTTGACAGTGTAATCGATGAGATCGAAATTTAGTTTAGGTAGATAGATAAAGGGATTGGCATTTGTCCTTTTAAAATATATAAAATTAGGCCATTTTAAATGACAAAAAGATAAACATAATAAAAATTATAGGGAGAAAGTTGTAGATTTTTTTAATTTAAATTTTAAATAAAAAATATTAATTTTAACTAAAATAACATAGGAAGCGTTGCCTTGTGACCCTTCGTGTACATACTCCTTAGTTAATAGATCAATTTTCTAATTCCCATTGATGTAACAAACCCCGCTGGTAGAACTGGAAATAGACGACTTGGTTATTTGTCGGTTCGGTTAAACATAAAAGTCATTTTCCACAAGAATCTGATGAATTAATTTGTGGTTTTTATTATCTTTTCTAAAATCTTATTTAATTTGGTTATGAATTTGAGGTCCATTTATTGATAAGCCGCGATCCAAATATAAATCAGATATAGTTAAGGAAAGATATTCGTTAAGAATGTCAATTCTAACACGACAATATAGTATATGGACTTGGGCCATTATCAGAAGTACTGAAGTCTCGTAATCTAACACCTACATATAAACTCTATAAATAAGAGGTAAAGCCTATAGTACAAATATGTTACATTCTATTTCTGACTGTTATGCTGTCACTGTGCATACACACCTTTGGCAAAAGCCATTTATTGTCTTTCTGTGCACAATGATCTGCTTAACTCAAGGGTATCTAATTCTTAGATACCTTAGAGATGACACCTAGATCCAAAAGTAACAAGTTAGTCCATTGAGTTAGACATCTCTATCCTTATAGCAGAACAGATTTTTTTGTCAGAATATTCAAATTGGCCCTCTAATATTCATGTGATATAAAATTGGTTTTATAAAAATTTTAAATGTCAATTTGATCCTTCATAATATAAGGAGCTTAATAGATATTAAATTATATATTCAGAGACTATTAATATCTACTTTTAAATATTTAAAAAATCAAATTAATGTTTAAATTTTATGAAAAGTCAGTCTTCTAAGATAAATGGATTCTTATTTACAAATAAAACTTATTATTATTATTATTTTGTGAAAAACATAGATCTATTACATTTTACTGTTCAATAAAAATATTAACGTACGTAACTACTCAAATATTTAATTTATCATTCTTGATAATACGATTACCCCATTTATCTCTTCCAACAAAATTTCCATTCAAATTAACGCTGATATATAATAATAATTCAACCTTGAACAGATTAAAGATAATCTGGTTTTTAACTTTGACATCCTATACCCAGTGCGAGGAAGTTTCCACTGTCTATTCTAATTAAATAATCCACGGTTCTATGAAATTAATTTGATCCTGTATTTATTAAAGAGATATGCTAGATAAGCAAGCATATACGTTATAATGCATATTCATGACAAAAAATTAGATGAGTAGATTAATTTGTTTAGTTGCATGAATGAATAATAAAAGCAAGAAATTGATCAACAGATAGGAGCTGATGTTAACGCCGTTATTGTCCTTATGATTATTTTAGGTTCATCATCAATTATGGGTGACCTAACTTCTGCTCAGCATCGCCGACAACGCATTATTGGAAGTGCTTATAGTACTGATACAGAGAAGTAGGTCCCGAACACTCTACATCAACTTTCTAGTTAAGCAAAGATCCGGATTCTTGTTGATGAATCATATTCTGGTGCCATTATAACGCTTTGAAACTCCAATTGTGTCTTGTACCTACTTTTTTTTTTTTTTTTTTTCCATTGGAAATAAACCAAGTAGTGCACATCCCTTTCTAATCTCCACATTCATAATAAGCAAGAGAAAACCGTCCAACCATTCCTCACATTCCTCGTTCATTAAAAAGTATGCAAGATTGGTAAGCAAGGTGACATGGTACCCATCTCTAACTAGTTAAGCCAGCCACGGAGTGGGAGACAGTTCATGTGGGTCTGTTATAATTATAGAAAACACACACACACACACTCATGTATACCTATTTCCAATCATGACTTTTTTTTTTAATCTTTTCTTTATATTTATTTTCGGAAATTTCTTACGAAGCAATCTTTGAATGAGCTGTGCCAAAGCATATAAACGGTTTTAAAAAATATTTAATAAGTGATCGTGGAAAATTAGAGAAAAATTAGAGAAAATGAATAAACGTACGTACGAGGGGGAGGAAAAAAAGAAGAAAAAAGGCTTCTGGGACACGATTAAAGCAGGACTAAAGGGGCCAATAATTTGGACAATATAAAGTGAAGCTACTACACATACGCAAGGAAGCATACATGGGGAAAAAAAAAATTAAAGTGTGGTAATAATATTATCTATAGTTATATTGGTACGTCTGTCATGTGGGTGGCGAAGGCTAGCGAATCAACTACCGTCTTGATGTGTTTTGCAAAGGCATGTGAAGTGTTAGGATTCTACAGTATCAGAGAGAGAGAGAGAGAGAGAAAGGTTATCCAAGTTTGTCTGTTATTATTATATTGGAGGTAACAGTAGTGGGCCTCAAAAAATGGTCAACCTATGCAAAGAGATATAGAGGGGACTCTCATAATTTCCAAAATACACAGATTCGTTTCTCTACTCATTCCACCTTTTGATTAATAATAATCATAGTCACCCACCCACCCACCCATTGCCCCCACAAAAGTCGCATTCATTCTCTTTCCCTTAGCTCCCTCTCTTCTCTTCTTAAGACCCCCTCTTGTGCTCCCACGAGACATTATAAACCACACCATCATCTAATCAACTAAATCTCTTCCCTCTTCCCTCTTCCCTCTTCCTCTTCTCGCTTCTCTTCTTTCTTTTACACAAACACCATCACCTAATTATTATCATTCTCTTAATGGGTCTAGATCAAGATGCTAGTAACTCAGGCCTTCAGCTTATTCTAGGTTTAGCTTTGACTTCTACACCAGAATCCAATAACAAGGTTGATAATCATCTTACTCTTATGCCAAGGCCAACACCAACCAAGTCCCACTCCTCCAATTTTAACTCAGAGGCTGAGCCATCACTAACGTTGGGTCTCTCCGGTGAGAGTTGTTACCTGCATCATGTGGTCAAAGACAACAAAAATAAGATGGACATAACGCATAAAGCTTACAACGAGGACCCTTTTGACTTGTCTTCGCAGACTTCACCTCATCACAGCGCTATTTCCTCGTTCTCCAGTGGCCGAGTCAAGAGAGAAAGGGATCTTAGCAGTGAAGAAATGGAGGCAACAGAGATAGAGAGGGTTTCTTCAAGAGCGAGTGATGAAGATGAAGACGGCACCACTGCAAGGAAGAAGCTTAGGCTTACAAAAGAACAATCTGCTCTACTAGAAGAAAGCTTCAAACAACATAGCACTCTCAATCCTGTAATTATATATAACCTATCTCTATTTATTTATTTTCATATATACATGAATTTTAATTATTAACTTTTTCTGATCGATTTAATGGTTTCCTTGGATTGGATTTACAGAAACAGAAACAAGCTTTAGCGAGACAGTTAAACCTGCGGCCTCGTCAAGTTGAGGTGTGGTTCCAGAATCGGAGAGCCAGGTATATATTTAGGGGAAAAGATATCTTTACAAATTTTTTTAAATTTTTTTTTATAAATTACACTGTGTTCTCTCGCCCGGAGAACATAGTAAAATTAGTGTTTTTCTGAGAAAACATAGTGTAGTTTGTAAGAGTTTATAAACAAAAAAATTTATAAATATAACCTTTCTCATGTATTTATAATGATATATAAAATCATTTTCAATTAAACCCGACTAACGAGGATAGGATTGAGGATATTTCTTACATGCCGCCTTACATTTATCTATTTATATAGAGGTTGTTTCCGGATTGGAATAAGTAATTTTTAAGTCACATAGATCAGCTTTACCATTACTTGACGCCCTCTTCTATAATCATTAATCCAATAACAAAAAAATGTTTATATACACATATAGTTTCAATTTATGTAGACACGTACGTTGTTGGGTGTTGCAGAACAAAGCTGAAGCAAACTGAGGTGGATTGCGAGATTCTTAAGAAGTGCTGCGAAACGTTAACGGACGAGAACAGGCGGTTACAGAAGGAGCTTCAAGAGCTGAAGGCACTGAAACTAACACAGCCTTTGTATATGCCTATGTCTGCGGCAACCCTCACTATGTGCCCATCTTGTGAGAGGCTCGGTGGTGTCCACGGTGGCGCTTCCAATAAGAGCCCTTTCTCCATGGCTCCTAAGCCTCACTTCTTCAACCCCTTCACCAATCCTTCTGCAGCATGTTGAAAAAACAAACAAAGAAACAATAGTATTCCCCCCCTCAAACCTTTGTATTTTTTTGGTTGAGGGATACGTCTATGGACTACGTCTAGTGAAAGGGTTAAAGATGTAATTAACTAATACCGTAGATATTAGTAACTGCTGATCAAAATTACTTTTTTTTTGTCCCCTTTATTGTATGTTTATATATATATATCGTTATAGAATACATCCATCCATGAAGGAATAGCTATATTTTATTGTTCATTTTCGTAACACCCATGGTTACACGTGTGAATATCTTTATGAATATTTTAATGTTGAAAAAAACATAGTCTGTCTCTGGCTGAAATAATACTTAAACGTGAAATGAAAACAAAAAAACTAGTTATATTTTGTGAAATAGTAAAGGTGCGTTTCTATAATAAAGATGAATTTAAACGCATTTGATCTGGTCGCGTCTGTAGACTACATTAAAAAAATGATATATCGTCTCTAAAGATAAGTTCTCTTCAAAATTAATTTATGATTTTAAAAAAAATATATATTATTTCTTATGTTGACTCTAATTAATAATATTAAGCATTGTTTTATGGAAGCATATATAAAATTAACATTATTCTAGCCAAAGGGCGAAAATTCATTATAATCATGTAATTACGTAGCCTCTGCCTTGATATTTTTAATGGCTGTGGGGGAGGGGGAATAGTATATGTGTGTGTGAATGGATTGGAGGTTATTATTAAGTTAGAGAAATGTTAAAGATGCAGAGAGGAAGTTAGCTCACGTGTTTCTGTCTGCAAATCAGTTGCTTAAAGAGAGCGTGAATGAGAGAGAGTAGTGAGAGACTAGAGAATGAGGCGGTAATTAATCTTGTGTAGAAAGAAAGGAATGGATGATTGACTATGAAAAAACAAGGTTGAGAAAGATAGAGAGAAGGATAGAGTTAACAATGTGCTGCCTACAAATGTACATGGTGTCGTCTCGTGAGATGCTTTACCTTTAAGGGAACTGGTGGGTCACGCTCCCACGTGATGAACCAATGGGTCTCTCAAAATCTTAACATGGGATTTTCCTTCAAGGTCAGCTACTCGATCTTTCATTTCCCCGTCCTTTTAGCTTAAATTGCCCCCACACATGTGAATAAATCTTTAATAGTTCGTATGTATCGAAGATTTAGTATATTCATCTAATTATTTTGTTACATATGAACAAAAAATATCATATTATATGTTTTTTAGATGATGTAATATTTTTTTGTTCATATCAGTGGCGGAGGAGCCACGTTAGAGTCAACAGTTGCCTTGGCACTGACTTATTTAGTCACGTTCATTTAACTACATTTGAAACGTAGCAAATTTTGTTTCAATTTTTTTAAAAATTAGTCACGTTTTGATCGTAGCCAGAGAGAATCGTAGCTATTTGGAAACTAGCTGAATTTTTTGGCACTTGCTAACCTACCATGCTGGCTCCGCCACTGGTCCATATGTCACAAAATGAATAAGCAAATACACTGAATTGAGTATATCTGTTGCACTGAAAATTTATTCCATCCAAGAATCCAAAGAAGAACGTTTTCTACGCAAGTTATTATGAATACTTAATAAATAATTATAATTACAAAATAAATAAATACCCGATAAAATATCTTTTTCCCTCACCATGCAATCTCATTCATTTCAATTTAACATTTTTAGTATATATATAAATAAAAAAAAGGAAAAAGTGTATATCATTTTAATGGATATTAAATTGTGTCATTTTAAGTGAAAGAAAGAGATAGATAAAAGTGAAGAGAGAGTGAACAAAAAAATATAAAGACGTGAGTCTCACCTCTTTGTGAGAGTGAAAGGATATAAGTTGTGTCATTTAAAAAAACAAACAGTTTTCCCATAAAAAAACGCTGAAACTTCCATCGCCCAAATGAACGGTAAAGATCTCGTGTCCATTGCTATGTACGTTCTAGCCACGGTATCGTTGTTGGAGTTGAACCCTAAACATTGAAAAATGAGACGGGACTTGACCATCCTAACATCTAACTACTATGTATATTACAATGATTGTTATTGTAAAAGAAAAATAACTTATACGAATATTATATTGATTTATAATTAGTATTCCACACATCATTCATGATGGGGTGGGCCAATAAATATCATGAGAGGGACTTTCCCGGAAAAGGGGACAACTTCATGCAATCATCACTTTCATACACTATTTTTAACCATCGCCATCATAATCACATTCCACCTCACCCCTCATCGATCTTCAACGCCCTCCTTGTACGCCAATTCCACGAATGTCACAAATTTATAAATTATGCCCCGATTGTGCGAGGATCCAAAGGGTGTGAAAGCCATGTAAAAATATAGAAATTTCAGTTTTACTCGTAGTTGTAACTTGTCAAACAAATCTTGAGAATTGAATTAGTCAGAAGCCAATTTGTTTGTTTGATCGTCAATCCGACCAAAGATCATTTTTTTAAGAAAATAATTTACAACAAGTATGTGGATATTTTTTTCTAGAAATTTACGGGATTCAATATATCAAAAGTTGAAAGTTATAAAAAGGGATAGATGGTTCATGCGTAGGTGCAGAATGAAATCATCTTTGTGATAAAGTCTTGGATGCTTAATTCACCTCTTGTGATGGATGGGGATGGTTTTCTGTTTTGTATAATACGTGTGCGCACACGTAATAGTCCTTACTGAGTCCCAAATTAAGGCAAAGACATATGTCTTGTGCTGGCTACTTTGTCGGCCTGTAAATGGTATTCATCTCGACAGTAATACTTTGTTTTATTATTTTGTCATCGTTGATGAGGAAAGCAATATGGGTGTGGTCTCATCATCTTAATTAAGCTCCTAATATATTTTAAGTTTTCTTGGAAAACACTCAACTCAATCATCAGCTTAATTAAGAGGCTATAATATAATATGCTTTTCAAATATAAATTCAGCCAATACTTATATACAAATAGCTATCTCAAACATGGAGTAATTTTCACATTTCCTGAATTACAAACATCATTCATTAATTATATCGTGGTTGTTTTCTTGAATTCAACCACCACAACTATTACTTTATCCTATTTTGATGGATGTAACAAACTCCACTCATAAGAATAAGCAAAAATAAAAAATAAAAAAAATTGCGACTACGTGCTTGATAAAGTCAAAATGAAAAAGTGAAAGACTATAAAAACGAGTCTGCTGAAGTTATTTTCGTACTTATTAACTTATTTACCAAACACATTGGAAACATGTATTCCGTCTCTTGAAATTAGAACTATTTTATTTTCGATCCTTTTCTATTTTTTAATTGATTCCTCAAATCGTTCGACTCATTTTAATTTAGCCATTAATTATGTGCACCTTAGTGTTGTTGGATTCAAAACATTTAACATTCTATGAATAAATCGAATTGAAAAACTTAAACTGAGAAATATATTTTTTTTTTTTAAAGATGTTCGGTCCTGGATAGACCGTATTGCTATACTATAAGGTATGCGCTCAGAGATAGTGTATATCAAGTGTATACTAGGCTTACAGCCGAGGTCCCAATCACTGCGCACAAGCAATAGGCATATAGCCAAAGGGTGGGTGTGTGCACAGTGTGGGCAGAAGTAATAAATGAGTTCTGAAATCTTACCTAGGGTTCTTAGGCTCTTATTTATAGGATTACCTTCCCAGGATTGTGCCTCTGAAATACCCCCATTGTAGCTGGATTCCCTCTTTCTGTTGGGGTGTGATCCTTATCTCATATCCTTTTAATTGTTTGAGGTTGTTGAGATGTAACTGATTCAATATCCCTCTGGATATTTTACTAGGTAGTTGGGATATGATATTCATATCCATAACAGTTGCCCCTCAGCTCGGCATTCCGGGACCGTGATGCCGAGATTACAGGTTGTCGTCTTAGGCTCGGTCGATCGGAGTTTACTCTTCAAATTTGAATCTCTGGGACTTTGGAGTCGACACTTGTAGTTTGTTCAAGTCGTCAAGATCTCGCTCACTATACTTCCCTGACGTTTGCACTTGAAGTCGAAGTTGACTATGTCGGATATTGCCCAAATTCTTTGCGGCTGTCTTTCGTCACGCTGGTCGAGTCGTCGTATCGGAAGGTGATACCCGGGCGATACCTGACCCCGGAACTTGGGGCTGGACCTTATCTTGACCCTTCGCATTTGACCCTTCGCATCGTGTCTGCTGTGACGGTTATGGCAGTCCACGTGTTTCGCGCCCATTGGTAGTTTGTGCTTCGTGCAGTGCGTACTGCTTCAATTTTGCTCAGGTTATGATGAGGTGCTTTTAATGCTCCCAGGGTGAATTCCCAATTCTGCCCCCTTCCTCACTTAACCGTTTGAAGAGAAAACCCTTCGCCTTCGCGCCCAAGTCACTCGTCGCCCCTTTAAATACCATTTTCTCAACGGGTTCCAGACTTTACAGTTATTCATGTGGCAAATTCTCGTGGAGCTCCCCTTGCATCCAGTGAAGGTTTCTGTTCATTGAGACTAGTTTTCACCATCTTTGCTCCCAAGTTCAGGTACCTTTCTGTTTATTTCGCTTTTCCCCGTTGCTCCGTTTTTGGATTGGGTTTGTACTTTCCTCTTTAAAGTGTTGAGGGTTCATAATGAGTGCCCCTAGTTCTTCCTCTGGTCCAGCATCCCAGCCAGGTGGCGTGGGGGAGGAGGAGGCGGTGAGCCATTTGCGTCGCTCTGTCCAGTACTGGTTCTTCGGTAGAGAATACACCGAGGAGGAGAAGCTTCAACAGCTTCTCCGTGGTCCTCGTGGGGGCCTTCGTGGTTCTCGCGGAGGCCGAGGTAGGAGGGGAACAAGCCGAACTAGAGGGGGTCGTCAGTCACAGCTTGACTTTGGCATGAGCAATCCTTCCCCAATGAATCCCTCAGCTCCTAGACTGAGCTCCCTTCCTGAACCAGTTCCGCTGTCCATTATTCTACCATCTTCTGGGATTGCTTCTGGTACGAGGTCCGTTCTGGATTCGATTCCTCCTCTTGACTTGAGCGCTAGCTCATCCAGCCTCTCTTCGTCTGAGATTGGAATTCCTAAGCCAGTCACCCCTTCCTCCTTAAAGGACTCTGCAACAAGTCGGGTTTCATTTATCGACCTTGTCAGTAGTTCGGATAGCTCTGTTCCTCCCTCTTGGAGTTCGTCTTCGCCTCGTTCCGAGGCTGGTAGTCCCAGGTCGGAATCGGTTGGCATGTGTACTGATCTTTGTCCTTCATATTCCAGGAATATC